AAGATATTATAGCCTTGTCTTCATATTATTATCCTAAATTTGACATATTTGAAAAGGCTGATACTGAGCCAGTAGAGCTAATGTAACCTTCAGTCACATAATAGGTGCTGCAGAGAAAGAAGCGGCGCAGTACTTCTTGAAGACCTCCCTTTTAACATGTTGCTGTCTCTGTGTTGGATAGGTAGAATTGGAAGGTCTAACAGGCCACATTGAATTCAACAGCAAAGGCCAGCGATCTAACTACGCCCTGAGGATCATGCAGAACAGCAAGGATGGCCTAAGGCAGGTAAAGTGACTCCCAGTCTTGAACTACAAATGGTATTATCTGTCTTCAAAAAAATCTCATGCTATATGGATAACATTAGCACAGCCTTGCTATAGCATGTAGTTCATGTGATTTATTCAAAAGAATTTATATATGAATATTGTGGTATTTTTTCACTGACTTACACCTCCATTTTCACTGGCCTTAATGCACCTGTTATCGCTGTAAACAAAGTTCTTCAGCACAGCCCTGATCCCTGTAGGGAACTACTTCTGGCAAATGTTACAGTTGTCTTTATGGCAGTGATGTAACTCAAGATGGATCGTACAGCAGGGAGCCGTGAAAACACTTGCTCAACTGACATCTTTTGCTGCAAACAATCGCCATTATCCTGCTAGCAGAAGTGTGAAGGTGCCAGAGGACAAAATTAAATATTAGGGCTGCCTCTTTGAAGGTGCAAAGAAGCATATTTTTACAGAAAATTAATTTAGGTTAAAACAAAAGTCAGTAACACTGGCTCTGCTGCTGCTGCTATTATTGGTTTTACAGATACGTAGGATCTGTAAAAATTTAAATTAGATGCATATTTGAGGTTGTGATTCTTTATGGAATAGAAGAACAATTAGTAATATTTTACTTTCTTGTCTAACAAAATAACTATAATTTATCAGCAGAGATTTGTGGGTTGTGTTGATCAATACCAGTCACTCCAGTATTTCCTCAGAGGATGCTTGGTTTTCAAGTTTCCAACACAAGCAGCCTTTTCGTGCTCTTTCATTTAGTGAAAATACTCGACATGCATCACCAGGCATTTCAGTCTATGCCCTGAACCAGAACTACCCTGTACAATCTCTGAAACTGGTCTCCAATGACATCTCTTTGCCTCAGTTTCACACCAGGGAACACTGTTTCAAATACTTTACAATTTCTTCTAGATTGAACACATTTACCAGAATTACAAAGAAAGTAGTCTGTAATGAAATGTAAGTGACAAGAGGCTTTGAGCAGCTTCGAGTACTGTCTGTTAATGAATGAATGGTAGCAACCGGTGCTCTTGTGCAATATACTGTATCCATTGCTCAGGGGTTGGTGCTATTATTTCAGGGTTTGTAGTGCTTCATGTCAATGATCCACAAATCAGAAAGCATTCGACATCAGATCTCTAATACCTGACTTCAGACACTGTCTGAAAAATGTTTTGTTTGATAATGATATACCCATCATCACAAAAATCTTCCCACATGTTCTCTCATTGTAACAATTTAAATGTTGAAATAGAGAACTGAGAACCCTCTGATGAAGAAGAGACAAGGTAGAGATTGCCCAATACTCTCCCATCCATCAACAGCCTCTCCGAATGCTCGAGTGGAGCTGAGCCATCAGCAGCAGTAAAACTCTGTGGTTGAAATTCCAGGTAGAAAATATAGGTTGTTTGTGAGTAATGGGATCAAAGGTAAACATCAGCACAAAAGTAGCAGAAGCCTTAGCTGAGTGACAGAGTTGTGGATCAAGATGAAAAATCTGGCTGTGGTCGTGTTTGCTTTTATGGTAAAAAAAAAAAAAAGTCTGGTAACCCTAGGTTTCAGAAAAATCATCAAGATAGCCTCTTTCCTGTGAGTCAAAAAACAGCTAAAGTTGTCACTTTTTACACTGATGTGATCTGACAGATAGCACAATGTGTGATAACTGTGTGATGTGGAATAAACCGTGGATAAATAAGAATATATTGCGGAACCAAAATAACATTTAAAAGGAGGAAATGTATATGGATGAGTTATATAAGTAAATATGTTTTTTCAATTTCTTCTGCCATTTAAAGAAGCAGAAGAAGTTTTTTCATGCCAACAAAGTATCCTGTCACAGTGCACAGCCGTTCTTGATATTGTCTGTGACATTAGAAAACCCTACATGTACGTAACAATGACAGTACTGCCTCACAACATGTTTTTCAAAAGAAAATAGGTAATATCTGCTAAAAGACAACTGTTGATAATCATAAGCGACCAAGCATAAATCAAGCTTCAGTGTGTCCTCGAGCCTTAAACAAGAAACATCCACAATCACCAGAAGCATGAAGTGCTTTGGACACCAGTACTGTGTCAGTGCGCACGTAAGCATTTTATTTCAAATACAGACCATTACTGTATTGTATGTATGTTATGATCTACTTCATACATGTTTGATTTTGTAATTGGTAACCTGTAAAGTTCACCCAGGTTTACCTTTAGCTAGCTTCTTGAGTGACATTAATGTTTCATACTGACATCAGTGGACATCAGTGTATTTCTATCATCAGTGTATTTGTCTCATGCATTTTGATATCTGCTTTGTTTACTCCAGTTATGGATGCCAAAGTGAACACATTAGGCCAGCTCTCTGCACCTGGGGTTTTGTGGCCAGTAGATGCTTGTCTATAAACACACATAGACACACAATCAAGCAAACATCTGCTCGTTTACTAAACTGAGTATGGTAGTAGTTTTCCTCTTTTTCTCAGTCCCTCTCATTGTCTCTGCCTCTGTCGCTCCCATTCAGTCAATACAATGAAAGGATTACACCTGACTACTTGTTATGTGTGTCCCATTATGAGTGAATAGTACAGACTATTCTGAATGCCATCATTTTTACATACGGTGGCTGATGTTGTGTGCTACTTTCATACAGCTTGTTGTTAAAACCCTATTTTCTATAAATGCAAGAACTTGATATTACACATATGATCTTAAGGCTTGATGTTTGATGTAAAGCGATAACTGTAATCCTTTAAGCTTATGCTTTTTCATGGTGCTGTAACAAACTATGTATAGTATTTCCCCTGGAAATACCTGTCTTTCACCCTGACAGCTATAGCATGCTTTTCCCTGCTGCCCTGACTATTATGTTTTCCTGTCAATGCTGCATTATATATGATGGTTATTAACTTATCTCTAATCCAACAAACCGTCACCACTTTGCTGTAGCAGATAGCTGTATTTGTGCTTTCTTATCTGCAGCTTTTTTTATGTAGCTGTTGTTATACTATTATGACAGTTTGACAGGAAAGAAAGGAATAACTGAGTGAGTTTCACAACGCTGTTTTAAAACATTTGACCCTTTCGGTTGCAATGATCTCCATGAAAGAGGGGATTGAGTTCCTGCCTGAATGTGAGAAAAATCTTACCTAAGCAACCCGTAGAAGAGTCAGACAGCAGCCCATCTGCCTTTATTAACCTTGTCTGTGTCTCCCCATGTCCCCTTTTTATACTGGCACTGGGCCAGCCAGGCAGAAGTATAATGCTATCAGGCTTAATGTGATGATTTCAACCAGAAGTATTATAAAGCAGCCCTGCCAGTTATGTTAATGGGGAGAGGCAAGGTGTTAGACGGGGGATGGGATGGGGGTGTTGTTTGTTTTGTTGACTTAACACCTCCCACATGCTGTTGGGTTGGGGCTGCTTCAGCCAGGCAGACACTGGAGGTGCCAGGGCCTTGGCAGTGATAAAGAAGGTGGCTCACTGCCCACACACACACACAAACACACACACACACACCTACACACAGAGTATTTGCAAATCAACACATGACAAGATAGATATTTCAGGTCTTTTGTTTAATTAAAATACAGTAGTAGTGATCCACATTGGGTCTAGCCAGTAAATGCACATTAAAATAAGATGGCTCTTGATTCAAAATGCAGTCTGAAAAGAGAGAAGAAGATCTTCCATCAACTTCCATCCAACAATTTCTGGAGATAGAGGGCAGTGAGGCATGTCTTACACAGCAGCCAACCTCCATTTCTCTACCTTACTTCCTCTCTCTTTCCTCAGTCAGTGGTACCCACCACCCCGAGCCCTGTGGCTGCGCTATAGATCGCCTCATATGTGTGACCATCAGCTCCTCGGGGGGTTCAACACCCTACAGCCAATCACTGTCCCAAATTGAATTTCTCTGGCAGGCATTTTCACACATTAGAGCAGTTTCCTGCTGCTCTGTCTGCTCCGCCTTTCTCTGTTTTATCTTGTAGAAAGCTAGTCTATCTACCTAATATCTGTCTATCTATCTGTTTTCTCATCTGTCTATTTAGTCACCGTTACAGGTTATTTTCTGCATCACTTTATAGCCTAATGAATAATGAGCACCAGTCATTGGATCAGCTCTGAGCTCTGCTTGTGCTTGTGCTTGAACACTAAGGATCTGGAGGAAGTCATGCTTTATTTTTACAACAGACCTCCACATCTGTGATAGTGAATAACAGTGAGTCTGTGTGTTTTAGAACAAAAGTGTACTAGTGTGGATGCAGCCTCAGTGTCAAATTTGAACACAGAAGGTGTTAACCAGGTCAAGCCTCAAATACTGATTTTAATTTCGCCATCGTGGCTGCTTAGATGTATTATTAATGCTTTTCATTTCAAACTTCAAACCAGAAAACTAGATAATGTTCTTTTTATTTCTTTTGTTTGAATTATTCATTATTGGATTCTTGAAGTGCATTTTGCAAGTGTGGTCTGATACAAAATTAATCACAATGAGAGATATCTTATCATCTGAAAATGGCCCATCAAGAGCACCGTAACTATATAAGCAAAACTCCAGTAATCACTTAAGCTTGAAAACAATAATTTTAGATGACAGTTCAATTAGCCTAGCTTATTTCCAGAATATGATGTGGCTGCATTACGCAGTACTCTTTATTTTTTGAGTTTTGGCAGGGAAAGTAAATTTCCCAGCTGCTCCTGCGTTGGCAGCCAGGTAGGCCAATAATGATGGTGTAAGAAGTTGGCATGGCATTGTCCGTGCTCCGGCCGAAGCACCGCTGGCGTCTGCTACCAACAACAATCCACACAGGAGGCAAGAAAGGCAGGTGGAGAGAGAGAGAGAAAAGAGAGATGAGGAAAGAGGACAAAGGGATGACAGGCAGAAACTAAATGAGACAGAAAGGGCATGCAAGAGAAAAATAGGACAGAAAGAAAAGAGGCAAAGACGAAGCTATAAAACTCGAAACAGTCAAACGATATTTCTGCATGTCAGATAACAGGGATTTT